CACACTCGTCTTCATAAGCATCTTTCAACACCAGTTTGAATTCATCTTTCAATTCACACTCGGCATCAAATTCGCTCCTGCCCTCGCTCTCACTCTCTTTCTCGACTTTAACTTTCAATTCTTTTATCTGTTGTCTTTAATTTCGACTTTCAGATCATCATCACACTTTTCTTGGCATTCACTCTCGCTCCTTTACTCACTCCACTCTCGCATTCGCCGCCGTTTTTACTATTCAATCTCTGTACTACTTTTCGAGTCGTCTCCTCGCGTCAATTTTTCATCGAATCTGCTTTTCGTCCTTTCTCGTTCGGTGAAGCAAGAGACAGTGACGCTGCTTCAAAAGCGTTGAATGTCAACTCCTGCCTCGTCGTCGCGTTGTCGTCTTCTGCCTTCCCCCCCTCCGCGACAAGTTCACTTCGCCCCACCAACTTTCGCCAGACGGCCCCAGTCACCAGACCCCTCGGAGAACCACCGTCTTCCCCCCACCCCCGACCGAAAAACCGTCTGGCCGTTGGCATGTCGACCGTCCCTGCCCCTCATTCCTCCGAGGCATTCTGTCATCAACTCTGCCATGGCATCATCCCTTTTACCGAGTCTCTGTCTCTCCGGCCACTTGGAATTGCTCGAACAGCCGAAATTATCCCATTTCCCCATTTTGACTGACATTCTCGCCAATCTTTCTGGCCGACAAGTCTTCTGGCCATGCGAGGCTGGCAGCAGGGCACGATCTGCCGAGCGAAACCAGTCGAAACTCTTTAAACCCCGGCAGATGTGAAGAATAAACGAGTGAAGCCCATATGCCCCATTAAGGCATAGTTAAATGTCTCATTTATTGTCTCTTTCGACTTCCATACTGCAGCACATTTCCTCTTTTTACAATCTTCCGATCTCGCCATAAATTGCGCGCGCTCTCTCTCTCTCTCTCTCTTTCTTCGGTAGATTTCAGTGGAGATGAATAGAAAAATAGATGGACCACTCGAGGCTGAACAATCGTAAAGACGCGCGGAGATTTTCGTTTCACAATTGGGTCTTTGAGACTACCTGCAAATCAGACATGTGAGGTATATTTATACTTTCTCCTTCAAGCTGATGAAAGAATTACATTAAAATTTTTCCACAATCATATCAGTAGGCCTCATGTCTCCATTGCATTTCACATAGCCCTGCCTTGACAACAGGTATTCTCATCCACTGCTGCACTGTCCCGGTTCGAGTCCAACTCGGACTGCTGATGCCACCAATTCTGGCGAGGTTGAGTACGCCGTCCAAGCCAGCCGGGACGAGAAGGCCCTTTTGGAAAAAGAGTTGAGTAAAATCGAATGGAAACGCGAGGCCTAGTCTTCGGATTGGCCGAAAATTCAAGTACCAGTCCCCTTATCACCCTGATTCAAATGGCATGGATACACATCTTACGGACACATAAAAAGATTGGTAGATTGAAAGATAATTGATGGACAGTTTTATGGCGAAACAAATAAAAGTTGGGTTTTGATGAATCTGTGAATCAACATCGCAACTCCGGTGAAGCCATATTGAGACGAACGGGATCAAGATTCCGAGATCATTAAGAATTCTGCTTGGAGACTCTACACAGTGAACCCAACTCAATTCAAATCAAATCAAATCAAATCAAATCAACCAACTCTTATAAATTAACCTCAACTCAAATCAATTAAGTGGTTGCAACTTGGTGTTGTTAGCAGGAAGATCGAGAATCTGATGGATCCATATT